CTGCAGGCGGGGCAACGCCCACCACCGCCGCTGTCACCACAACCGATGCAACTTCGTCGTCGCCGCTGCTCCTGCCGCCGCCACCACCTCCATTTCCACCCCCTCCACATCATTTCTGCCGGCAGCGCCACCTTTCCCGTCACCTCCGTCTTCCCAGTGACTTCCAATGGCGTTTCCTTACGCCGCCGTCACCTCCACCTCCACCACGCCTCCGCCGAGGGTGAGTGAACCCTCAGTACACGCCTCCGCCGCGCCGTAATGACCCGGGCGGGGACCGTGACCCCGCCCCACCCGCTTCGTCTTGCTCCGGCTGTGACCGGCCGCCGTTCTCTACAGAGGAATTCAAATGCACTTCTCTGTAAGTGGCCCTCGTGCCTGCTTTTCCTTTCAACCACTCGATAAAACGTTTGCGTGCGATGGAAACCTCGCACTGAAGTTGCTTGTCAAGTGTGTAGTCATTATAGAGTTTTTTTTAGTCTCGTAAGTCCATGACATAAGACCATCGAGTTTATACCTCATTCAAATGCATATAGGGTTGTTGATCGCAAGCGAGCGGATTTAGATGACCTAAAGCATCTCAAAAAATTATCAATAAAATACACTTAAAATATTTTCAAAACGTTCTATTAGCAAAGAAAAATGTCGTAAAAAATGTTATTAAAACGAGTTCGGATGAACAACATAAACTGTTGGATATGATACTTAAGTAATTGAGGCTTCGTCCATTGGTTCAAGTGAACGTAGCTTGCAAACTTTTAGTCTGGACTGTTATTTGTTAAGAAATCTATGTCGTTCATGTTATCAAGGTTCCGGCAGAACCGATATCGGCGCTGATAGACGGCACAGGAACTTTAAGATTTTATACTTACTATGGCTGACATTACTATTTCTGAGCCAAGAAATCAAATAGGCTACTCAGGAATTCTGTGCAGAACATTTCTTGCATCTCGTAAATATTATTTGAAGTAAATACCATTAAAAGGATATTAAAATCAATGAAATCAGCAAAAATGCTTAGCTGATTAAGCTAATGCTTAGCTTAATAACAGAGGAAGATAAAAGTGACTTAATAGTCGAAATCATCGAAAAATGTTAAAAGAGTGATATAAAATGAGTCATTTTCTTTTGTCATAACATAAAATCAATCTCTGTACTAAAATGCATTTTTTTCTGAAGTGAAAGAGAGAAAAAAGAACTTTCAATAATATTCGTCCCCTATGATGACGAATAACTGACCTACCTCGTCTGAGATGTTATCGACGAATTTGAAATTCTGTACCACACAGGCATCCCAAATAAACCTGATACACATGTGTACCACTTGATTGTGCAAAACACGAACTGTCTAGTTCAAATGGTTACCTAAATAAAGAACTTTCTTTCCCAAAGCTAGCATAATGTTCGCGCCAATGTGTTTGCTCGACTCTTAAGTGTAATGCTTTCCAGCTGCAGGAGTACGTCTTTAAAGGTATAACGATGTCTACAGTTGCAGGCGTTGCATACACCAACACACTTGAAAATGTTTTTGTTTTTTACAAGCAAACACAAACTTGCAATGCAGGCATTTCCGAATTACAATACGTCGAATATGGTATTCGAATTTCAACTTTGAGTGCAGCTACTTAATATTTCACTCTACTAATAATAATATTTCACTCTACTCTACTAATACACTCTTTCTTTAAAAGAAGTAAATTAATATAAATTAGTTCACGTTTTTCATCGTCATTTTTCATTGCACTCGATGCGTTATGAGCAAAGGAACTCAGCTCGACCCATGTTTTTTATTACCTTTTTCACAACTTCCAGTTCAACGAAGGTCTTATTACCCTCGACTGCAATAAAACTGAACCGATGAGAATTCGTTTCTCTTTGTGTGAAAGATATAAATTTTACGTTCGTGACACTGATTACGGTGACCGGCATCGAAGGCGTTGCCTCTGACGGGCGGGCGGCGCGCGGTTCTTCCTTTTGCTCCTAACTTGATTCTGGAATCTAAATGAGCGCTGCCGCGGGGGTGCCTTTGCACTGCACCGAGAAAATTGTTCAGAAATGACGCGGCGACGCTGGCGCCAGAGAATGGAGGAGTTCGAAGAAGGAAATTGAAGGAAGAACCAATCATCAAGTGGTGTACGGAAAGACTCGAGATCGGAAGGGGGAGGTTAAAGGTCAAAGCATGCAGCCGTAAAAGAAATGAATTGAAATGTCGGTGTTTCGTTTTTGTTGAAATGCACTGGTGTTCTTTTGTGCGCCGAGAAAAGTATGAGGAGATGCCAAAGAAAAAATCTAGTTCTCTCATAAATTGACTTCAATATTAAGAAAAAATATTTTGTTGAAAAGTTGTCAAATAACGATTAATTTTTAATTACAATTTATTAATATTTAATTACAGTTATTATATATTATAACTTAATTACTGTTAGTGACATATGTTTGAGAAATTTAGTGAGAAAGAAAACAAAAGCGAGACTGATATTACAATCCGTACATAATTGCACACTGAAAACAAAAAATTAAAAAAACCAATAGGGTGTAAAACAATATGTATGATTATACTTTGTATTGTAATTCGAATGAAACAAATACAGAATTTGGTAAGTAGTGTGGGGTATGAAAATATATTCGAAGTACGAAAATTAGATCATTAGGGAACTACACGGCCAGTATCAGTTTTCGTTTCGTCCCTAAAGTAGACACATGCCAAACCGTTGTGTTTTTTGCGGTTAATCAGGTAGCTAATTATAATGCCGGTTATTTCAATAATATATTATACCTAAATATCGTTGTTAATTTTCAAGCAGGAACAAATTACTCTGCAATTGAGTACAAATTGGAGGCAGTTATTCCCAAAATAAGTTAAGAATATCAATATAGTACTTATAATAACAACTTAATGTTACGCATGGCAGCACTACATTGCACGTATTTACAGTACTTAATATATTATAACACATCCATTGATATAATTTTTTTTAAATACCGGCATTGGGAGGGAGAGTTTTGAAAACGCAGACAAGCTGTTCCAATTTATCGTAATTTTCTCGATGGATGAAAATTATTCTAGAGCTGTTCATCGATTATTTTGGTCTGCATTTTGTAAATGATGTCAGACCTTGGTCAGATCTGTGGACCTGATCCACACTATCGAATACATGTCAGAGAATATAATTCTACAGTCACCAGTAACATGTAAATATTCACGTGGTTTACCTATGCCATAATGTAGCGTAAATATCATTTTCATTCAGTAATATTTTTATTAATAATTACTTTCAGTTAATGAAATATTATAGAGCGTAAATATCATTTACATTCAGTGTAACAGTGCTCTGAAACAACAAACACTATTTGTAATAGATTCTCTAGAGATGAGTCTTCAATACATTCAAATGGAATTCAGTATTCGACTTATTAAATTATATCCCCACTCAACAGTTTTCCACATAAACTACTGATGTTCATTATTGAAATCTAAAATTAAACAATTCGGATCTTCTATTTCTTCTGCAAAACGTTTTACAAGATCTAAATTCAATAGTGATGGCACATCCTTCGAAACACGACCATCCTTCAGTTCAGTAAAATGAAGACAAAACTCCAAAAATCTTCAATTGTCGTCTACACCTTGGAACTTTTCCAGAGATAACAACACATTCAACTATCTAATTAGCACAAAACGAATATTTACTACTCACAAAAATATATACACATATACATATCCTAACATAAAATACGTAAACTATAAATTAAATATTTACAGAAAAATATTGTTTCCATCGAAATAATTAATTAATTGTTGTAGGATGGGACTGAATCGGTTGTAGAAAATGACAAGGGCGTTGCCACACTCTGCCGCTGAAGTACCGCGCAATTACTGAAGTACAAGTTCCGGTTGTCCTCTTCGGTTCGCGCGCATTCACAACGTTCAACTCAATCTATGAAGGATAAGACTTACATTTGCTATCACGGACAGCATAACATCAACCTGGGGCACGCCACATTATATAATAGTTTCTTTAGAATGTTTCTAATTGAATATTTCGATGGCTTCGTACAGCTACGAGTTTGCCCTTGAAAAAGCAAACTGGCCGCATCATCGATTCTCGCAATTAGATGCACAACGCCCCGCGGGAACGCAAACCCACATTTCCTCCTGTGGTGCGTCTTTGCTCCTCCATTTGATCCTCGCGTGTGGTCTCGAAAGACTCCCGAATTTCTTAGAATTCCGAGCATCCTGCCCGAGTGAGTGCGCGGCGCTTCCTTGAGAAGCGGTGGCCCCTCGCGCGCTGAGCTGCGCCCGCGATGGCGCTGTGCCCCGCCACCCGCAAGGTGTTGGCCTCGCGTGGGACCGCACGCCCCGCGAGCCGTCATCGCCCCGGCCCCTCCGCCCCGCCCGCCTTTCTTCCTGTCGCCCCCGCGCTTGGCCCGCCACGTTCGCTCTCCACGTTCTCAAAACCGCGGCCCCGTCTCGACAGCGCCCCTGCCCTACTCGCCAGTTTCCGTTCTACGCTCTCCCTCTTCCCGACCTCACTGCCCCACCCTGACG